CCTAGAGCCTGTGCTCCACAACAAGAGAAGCCACCACAATGAGAAGCCCGCGCACCGCAACTAAAGAGTAGCCCCCGCTCGCCACAACTAGAGAAAGCCTGCGCACAGCAACAAAGACCCAAAACAGCCAAAAATAAAATAAATAAATTTATTTAAAAAAATAATTGTAATAATAGCAAACATTATCGAACCCTGGCTATGTGCCAGGCACTGTGCTAAGCCCTGTACCTGGGCTAACTCCTTGTACCTCACCACAACTCCATGGGGGAGATGTCACTACTATCTTCAGGATGAGGCATCTGAGCCTCAGGGAGGCTGAGTATCTCACCCACAGGCACACGGTAAGTGGGTGACAAAGTGAGGATTTGCACTCAGGTCTGTTTGCCCCACCGCATGTACACACTCATGTGACACACCTGAGACAGAGAATGGGCCAGAGGAGAGACTCAGACAAAATGTTGAGGGGTCTCAAGAGAGGGGGAGGAGGCCCTGCCAGAGGGGACTTCAAGGGAGGGTTCCTCAAGAGGATGCCATTGTGGTGGTCGCCAAAGAGTGGGCCTCCAGCAGAGGGGATCCAGTCAGACAGAAAGAGTCTGTCTGGGTGACTGCTCCCACAACTTTGGATGTATGTTTGATACAAATAACATTGGAGTCTCTGAGTGGGGAGATCAGGCTGTGCATCAAACAGACCTGGAGATGAATCCTTTCTCTCCCTGTTACTAGTTGTCTCGACCATGCACAAGCTAACCAACCTTTCCAAGCCTTGGTTGCCTGATCTGTAAAATGGACACAACAGTGATATTTGTACTGCATGGGGTTTTATTGTAAGGACTTAATCAGACATGGGTGTAAGGTGTTTAATACAGCCCATGGTACATAGCAAGGGCTCTACAAATGTGAACAATATGACGTTTGGTGCCACACTCTTCAATTCTGAAGAATCTTGATTTAAAAAATGAGGCCCCCTCCCCAGCCTGCTTCTGGCCTCTAATCATCCTAGACTTGGACAGCGAATAAATGAACGAGGGGAATTCTGGGCCCAGGGGGAAGAGGCCCCCTGGAGAGAGAAGGGCATTGGCATCCCGCACTGTAGCCAGAGAGGGGAGTCTGAAGGAAACCGAGGCGGCAGCAGAAGGATGGCTGTCTCCTTATGGTGGCCGAGGGCAGCCATAGGGTCCCCGGAGTTGGAATGGGCTGGAAGAATGAGCCAGTTGCTTTCAGTTACATCTCTCATGAACCCTTCACAACAGCCTTACGTGGTGTTCTGTGTTACTGATGAAGAAACAAGGAAGCAAGAGGCCCAGGGTTGCACAGCTGGGAACTGGCTGGGCAGGATTCCCAGGCAAGGCCACCCTCCCACCTCCAGTCCAGCCTGTCTGGGCCAGGCTGGGCTAACAGGATAGGGGGTGGGCTCAGGAGTCCAACAGGTGGACTGTCCCAGTGGTTCTCTGGAGTCTGTCCCCTCCTCTCCCCCACTGCCCCAGTCTGGGCCATTACGGGAGTCTCCCATCCAGCCTCTCTCCCCATCCTCTTCCTCCAGCCTCAGTTCACACCTCAATCAGGCAAAGAAACACAACTGACCACGCCCTTCCCTGGTGTAAAACCTTTCCATTGCCCACAGAGCTCCCTCTAACACTGGCCAGCGCCCTAGGCAGAGGAGGCAACCATCTTCCTGGAGTGACAATTACACTTGTTTTCCAAATATAACAAATATATGTTGTAGAGTGGAATGCAAAATACCCAGGAATTTTTCTCAGAAGAGGAGCTGTTTTGGGTTAAGCCTCAAAACAGATGTGTGTATGTTGGCGGGGGTGGGGCAGGAGAAGTATCATTCTTCATAGAAAAAGTTTCACTGGCCTCAAAGATGAGAAACTGGCAGTCTGGTCCAGCAGGCCCTGGCACAGTGGCGCCCACTGCCTTTCCAGTTGTGCTTCCCTGATGCCTGGGTGTGCTCTGTGCTCCAGCCAGAACTAGCTTGAAGCCTTTTTCCTTACTTACTGTCCCTCTGACTAGAATGTCTTCCTAATCTTTTTAGCCTGGAAAGTTCGTAGTTATCATTTAAGGTCCAATTTCACGCCCCCTCCTCCAAGAAGCCCTCCCTGATCCCACCCCCTTTTTGCAACGCTGCTCCCTCAGCATCTTGCTCTCCCCTCTTCATAACGTCTTACCACAGGCTGCCGTGACCACCACTTTGAGAGACAGCTTCTTCAGGAGGTTATGAGCAAGTTGAGGTCAGGGAGTTCACCGTGAACTCGGCCTTTGTTGTTCATTCAGCACACACTTAGAACCTCTCTGTGCCAGGCCATGGGTTTGGTATGCAGGGACGACTCAACCTGTCCTCGGAGGAGCTCCGATCTGAGAGAGAGACAAACCATCCATTCATTTATTGATTGATATATTAAAACAAGCAAAAAGCAAAACCTTTTGCTGAGCCCTGACTGGGCCAGGCCCTGTGCTCAGGGCTGTGCCTGCCCCCAAGAGACTCCCAGTCTGGCCAGCAGCCGGTGGAAACCACTAACAGCATGGTGAGTCCCCAGGGCTGTGGGGCACCAAGGCAAGTGTGCGGTCCTTTGCTTTTGCTTTGTCGTAGATGACAACGAGTGAATGAATGAATTTTTCTTTTTCTTTTTTTCTGTTTTAGGGAACTTGTGAGGTTTTAACCATGAATGGACTCTCTAAATCAAGGCACCCAATTAATGACTGATCAATTAATTGATTGAAACGTCACCCAGGAAGTTGCTAGCAGAGAAAGGGCTATATTCTGGTCTCCACCACCATGGACTTTCTCAATGGGGAGCAAATCTACTCTGACCAGGGCTGGCTGGAGTGGACCCTGCAGCTCCCGGCTGCAGAGCCTCCTATAAACTCCCGGTAAAAGGCAGCAGTTCTGGCCTGCCTCCCAAGAGGGTCATGAGCATTAATTAGTTACCATTGGTAAAGTGCTCTGAAGATGTGGGGATGTTTAAACACGGCGAGTCATTAGGCCTCTCCACACCACTATGCTCTACAGCCGGCAACTGCTAATTGAGAAATAATTAACACCTCAGGGTGCAGAGGATGGATGCCTGGCTTTTTCAGGGTTGGAAAGGATGTAATAAAGTACACGAGCAGCAGGAAGAAATATAAGGCTACTTTGGATCCTGAAATATACTGGAGATTATTCAACTTCTGCCCCCAGAGAAGCATGGGGACTGTTGCCCCAGTAAAACCTTTGGGACTGCATTCCTTGGGAAAGCCCCGAGCACAGTGCTGGGCTGCAGAGGCTGTGATGCTCTTAGAGCAAAAGAGCTCAGGTCCAGCCCAGGTCTGCCTGGCCTTCTAGCTGGTGAGCAGATGCCAGTTGTGGAACTCACCAAGCTGTATTTTCCTCAGCTGTTAAGACTGGGATTATGACATATGTCTACCATCCCCCCACCTGGCACCGGGTTGTCTGATGCCCTTCCTCTAGGTCAGCAGATCTAGCCCAGGCTTCACGTTAGGATCACTGGGGACTATAAAGTACCAGCATTGTGGGGCTGGGACTGGGGGCACAGGGTGATTCCCAGTTCAGTCAAAGTTGAGAACCACTGGTTTGGTTTGTGTATCAGGCACTGCATTGGGAGCTGTGGGAAATAAAGTTGTAAACCCTACCACACCCCATGTTTCCCTCACACCAGCTCAGTATTTCCTGATTCTGTGCCTGTGAGTTGTCCTGGACATTTCACTCCACTCCCATTGCCATTCTTGTGCTGCTAAACCCCACTCATCCTTCAGGCTCAGCTTGAAGCTCACCTCCTCAGGGAAGCCATCCTTCCCTGTGCTGCCACAGGACTGTTCTCAGCCCCCATTACACGACTGATCGCACAGTGTTTTTCCTGGCAGATCCTGGCAGGCTGAGAGCTTCTTGGGGCCAATAGCAGAATCACCAGTGTCTTGCACTGGGTCTGGTAAATTTTAGGTGCTGAATAAACTATAGGTGTTATCAGTTAGGTAGAGTTGTATGATATGCAGCTCTCACTCAGGACATTTGCACTTCTTCCTTGTGTCTGAAACATACTTCCCCCAGATATCTGCAAGGTTCTCTCAACTCCTTCAGGTCTTTGCTAAAATGTCACCTTCTCCACCAGGCTTTCCCTGATCCTTCTATTTTAAATGGCAACCAGTCGACCTCCAACCCTTTCCCTTCCCTAATTAATTTTTCTCCATAGCATTTAACAACATCTGACTAACGGATCCTGTCATTATGTAAAATTTTGATAACTTGTTCACGATGTCAGTTTTTGGTTTTTTTAAAAAATTTAATTGCATTAAAATACCACTTATCTTGAGTTCTTTGGCCTTCCCTTAAATTTCATTGTATTGGATTATTGACTAGAATGTAAGCTATACCGAATGCCGGGAACTTTGTCTATTTTGTTCACTATTCCCAGCTTCTACAAGCGGTTGGTACGTGGTAGCTGCTCAAAAAATATTTTGTGAAAGTTTGATTTAGTGTCTTAAAGATTAAATAAAGGTGTCTTATTCCAATTGTTTAAATTTTTTAAAATTTATTTAAATTGATAGCCTGTAAAATCATAGGGTAGATTCGAAACCGCATGGCCTACTGTTGTCATGGTTACACTATAGCCGGCGGTTCTCCTATTCAGAGAGTGGGGCGGGCCCTGGCAGTGGGCGGGAACACCAGACTCAAAACCTAGACCCGAGGCCTTGATCATAGAGTTACACCTCCCTCAATCCTAGAGAGCACTTCCGGGACGGTGATTTACTTATTGCTGCGTAGGCCAACCTATGAGCCCATTCTCTCTCCTTGCCTAAGTTTCCGGCGAGCAATTCATTGGCGTCTAGAGTGGGGTGGGGCCAGTCCCCGTGAGCGCGGTTTTGTGATTGGCGGGAAGGACAGGAGGCGGGGCTTCGTGCAGGAACGCCCCTGGCGCAGGCGCGGTGGCCCGGCGCGGCGGTCCCTGCGGGGTCGGCGTTCGCTGGGACTACGGTTGGTGATCGTGGGTGACCATGAGGGCCGGGGGCTGAGGGACGGGCTGAGGGAGGGGCTGCGGAATGAAGAGAGGGCTCGGTTCTGGACGCGGAGACCCAAGACCGTGGTGTCCGTTTTCCCACGTGCATCTCGTCATTGGATTGGGGCGGGTCCCCATCACAAACTCTTGAATAATACTCGTCTCCTAGTCTGTTTCCTCCGTTGTGAAATCGCAGGACTTCCTTGTCTGCCTCGGGTCGTGACTGGGAACTTGTTAGAAATACAGATTCTCTGCCCACACCCCAGACTTATTGAATCAGAAACTCAGGGGATGAGGCCCCACCATCAGTGTTTTAACAAGCCCTCCAGGTGATTCTGATGCTTGCTTAAATTTCAGAACCACTGGGCTACCGTAATGTAGCAAGCTGTACTGAGGGCCTTCTCAACCCAAGCTGAGAAAGTAAGAGAAAGAAAGGAGGGGGTGGACTTGAGAGAAATCTTGGAGACAGACTCAGTTGCTTGAGGAGGAGTCAGGGGTGAAAGAGTTTCTGGCTTGGGCCACGGGCCTGAGGTGGGACCTTAAGTGATGGCTCCAGGTGACAACCACGTGTGCCCTGCCTCCAGGCCTGCACTTTTCCGCGCAGTCACACTAGGGCTCTGTGGCCGTGCCTTCCAGCCGTTTTCAGGTCATAGGCCACATAGGAAATGATAATATTTGTACAGTGCCCAGGGGAAATGGACGAAGCTGCTTGAGGTTGGAGGATTGAGGCTGCTGGAAGCTGGAGGGAACCACCTGGGGGGATTTGAGCTTCCCAGAGCTGAGGGAAATTAGTAACCTGTTCTCAGCATACTGCAGAAGAGCTTTGTCCCATGGGATTTGCTGAAGATTAGGGGTGCTCACTAAATTTGGCAACATAAATCAAGAACCTTGAAAGAGTTTATACCCTTTGACTCAGTAATTCCGTTCCTGAAGATCTCTCCCAAGTATATAACAAAAGAAAAGAAAGCCTTCTGTTGTAGATTACATACAACAGAGAAAATTAACAACTCTGGAGAATCATTTTTGATCTAGTCGGTCAATGAAATGTTGTACTGCCCTTAGGAATGTGTGAATATTTTGTAAAATCATAAAGAAACCTATGTGCTCATTCATTAGACAATTGTCTAGTAAGCCCCTGCTCTGTGCTGAGTGGTGAGCGAGTCAGCTCCACAGAGCTGACTGCCTGGGGGAAGACCCAGCCGAAGGAGCAGTAACTCCAAAGAGTGATTGGTGTTTGATAGGGGATCAGGGGCTGCTGCAGGAGAAGCTGGTCTTTGGGGTATGGGGAGTGGGTCAGGAAAGGCATCCTAGAAGACAAGGTGGCACTCCTAAGGCCTGGAGGATGAGTAGATGTTGGTTCGCAAAGGGGAGAGGAACATTCTACGCAAAGGGAACTGTGTTTTAATAATGAGTGTGCTGAAGCTGGAGCACAGAGAGGGCACTGGTGAGAGGAGGCCCGAGGGGACCAGCGGCTAGCTCACATGGGGCCATGTGCACTGTGAAGGTGAGAAGGTTAGACCTGATTCTAAGGGTAACAGGAAGCTGTTGGAGGATTTTAAGCAAGAAAAGCTGTTGCTGTATGTGTCTTGGAAGTATCCCCTGTGGCTACGGTGTGGAGAATGGATTGGAGGAAGGTGGGCCTGGAAGCTGGGAGCCCAAGTGAAGAGGCTGTTGCAATAGCCCAGGTGAGAGATGATGGTGGCCTGGACCTGGGTGGAGGCTGTGGAGGTGGAGAGAAGGAACAGAATCAAAAGCAAGTGAAGCAGTAGGAATCACAGGGCCAGAGGGGTTGGTGAAGGTGGGGCACAGAGGGAGCTCAGAGTGGATGAACCTGCGTTTCTGTTTTGGACAAAGGGTGGCTTGCACTACCATTCAGAGTGACAGGCAGCGCTGGACGGGGAGCAGGCTTAGGGGGAAGATGCCAAGCTCCCTGTGGGGTGCTGAGTGTGAAGTACTCATGCAGTGTGTTCTCTAGGAGGCAGTGGGATGGGTAGATGTGAAGCTTAAGAGGCACAACGTACAGAATGGAGATGTTGACTCGGAGCCATGACCATGTGGCCTGACCAGGGACTGTGTGCTGTGAGGGGGGAGGAGACATTAAGGACATTGAAGGCATGGGTGGGATGGGGGCTCGTGGGCAAAGACGGCTCGCAAAATAGACAAGGGATTGTCAGTAGCGGTTGTCTCTGGGCTGAGAGATTATAGTTGATTTCCTTTCTTTTTTGTTTCTGTTTTTCTTAGCAAACTTAGATTCAGTTCATAGAATATACCAGATACTGTTCTAATAACTTCTTATAACTCTTCTCTAAATTCCCACAATAAACCTATATGGTGGGTCCCTTCATTTTACAGGTGAAGAAACTGAGCACAGAGGAGTTGGGTCACATGTCCCAAGCTACACAGGGTGCAGTTATTGGGAAGCTGGACTGGGATCCAAGCTGCCTGATTCCAGAGCCAATGCTGTCACCACGCATTGGTGTCTCCACAGTATGCTGTTGTATTTTTATAAACGGGAAAAAAAAA